TGTGCCAATAACTTGTGAGAACTTCTCAGAGAAAGAAGCTATGGTCCACAAATCCTGAGGAAGCTGCAGTGGATCAGCACAAGAGAAATAGTAGCTCCCTCTTCCTTGACCTTCCTTCTCCAAATCCAAGCTGAATAGTTCAAGCTTTGAGATATGGACTAAAACAAGAGCAGGACAATTTCTCTCTGCTGCTCTGTGCAGTGGCAGCAGTGAGGCAGAGAAAAGCTTCTCAGGGCCTCCTAAAACCCAACTACAGACCTACCATTAAAGCTGAAGATTTGTTTGATGTCAGGCCACGTGAGCAGGTGGTGCAGAATTGTATCAAAATCATCCTCAGACTGCCCAGGCCTGACTGGCCATGACTTCACTATGACAGCAGACACGAGCTGGCTGAACTGGCCCATGTTGTAGGCAGAGATCTGCTCCAGGAGATTGCTCTGCATCTGCCAGGGCACACAGAGAGGGCAGGGGTGGGTCAGATTCTGGAGTCCCACTGTGTCTGTGCCTTCCCAACCAGCCCTGTGACACAACTGACACCAGAGCTGAAGGTGGAAACACATTACAAATATTCCTCATGGACCTCATTTCCTGATTTCTTGTTGATATTTTTTGTTGTTGGTTTAACAAACAATCCACAGCAACTTAAGCAACATCCACCTTCCCCTTCCACTACAAGGCACATCCCTGTGCAAGAGAATTGCTGTGGAATTCCACTTTTCTTTCTCCTCCCTTCCCTACCTTTCCTTTCCCCTACCAGGGCACACAATACCTGGCAAGCTGCAGGTACAGCCTCTACAGCACAGTTCTGGAAGCACCAGCTGATGGAGGAGTCCATCTCTGTGATGTGGTGGTGCTGACAACAGTACACCAAGATCTGGTTCGAATGAAATATTTGCCATCACTAACCAAGAGCAAATCCAGCTAAGAACACCCTCCCCTCATCAATGCCAACACCACTTCTTGCTGCACATAAACCCCCAACTCTTCCCCTGAGGAGTCTCTGACTCCAGAGCAACTATTTTTGCTCTTAGCTAGGTTTGAAGCTCTTTGTGCTGTGACCTGCTGCCAGCCCCAGTCCCCTCAGTGATGCTCAGTTTGAGCCTTCATCCCAGAGCTGGGTAAAGCTGCCAGAAGACAAACCTGAGAGCTTCTCCACGAGAGGTCAACATTCTCCAACCTGTACAGAACACCTTGAAGAGTAACTAACAGGTCACTGGAGAAGTCTCTTATGAACTCAGCCAGGCTCCCCAGGGGCAGCACACAGAGCCAGGACTTGACCAGAGTCCCATCAAATTCCATCAAGTGCTTCTTTTCTCTCATTCGTTCCAGCAGGGTGCCTCTGGAGGGGAGATAAAACAAAATCTTCAGGATTCCAGGGAAAACAAGGTTGTGCAGCCCACACAGGAGTCTCCTCCTCATTCCTGAGCTTTTGTCCCTGCAGCTGAGATCAGTGGGAGTCCCCAAGGCCCTGGGGTGGCACAGCAGAACCAAACCACTGAGCACAAGCACCCAGGGAAAAGGAACTCCAGGTCTTGGTCAGACTCTACACAACAGGAGCAACTTTAGCTCCCACCTGCTCCCTGGCTGGCAGAACTGGGGGCTGTGTTTGAGGGGTCACACCGTGCCCAGCTGAGCTACACTCTGACCTCTGAGCCACCAGTGTGGCTGTGCCCAAACGCCCCATCCTCCCTCAACATGATACATTTCACACTCTTTAAAAATGAGGGAGGGGGAAAACAACAAAAAAGAGAGATGAGGAGGGCACTGGGAAGAACTGGGAGATCTGGAAAACTCACGCATCTCGCTTCCTCCTGATTTCAGCAAATGGAAGCCCTTCCAGCCCTGCCCAGGCATCCTCCTCCACCAGCCCATGCTGCTGCTGCAGGGGAGCAGCAAAGGAATGCAGGAGGGGAAGGACCCACACCCACTGGTCTATGTCACGTTCAATGCACCACTGGCACAAGTTTGTCAGGTCGACCTTCAAGCTAAATAAAAATAGAAAACAAAACAAACACACTGAGTGAAAGAACAGCTTTATCCCAGCCTTGAGAACACCCTAGGGGTGTGGGAGGCTACTTTTCAATCTCCCTATGTGCCTTTAATTAACCTCTGGTCATTATTTTAGCTCCATCTACTTTTCATTGCAGAGTGTAGCTGCCCAGGTTTAAGGGCCAGAGCTGCAATATTACTGAATCTCTCTGCACAGATCCTGCTACTGGAGCACTGGGAAGACCCAATCCTTGAGCTACAGTCTCCCCATGAGCCCCCCCAGCCCTGTGACACCCACACAGATAAGGACTCCAGAAAGAAATGCAATGGCTGCAGCCGTGTGAGTGAAGAACTCCAAATCCAGTGCCAGCTAAGCAGTCAGATTACAACCTGGCAAACAGGCACTCCAGAGGAAACCAACCAAAAAGTGTGGAATGGTGCACTGCAGCCTTGCCTGGATGCTAGGCCTGCCTCAAACAGGAGGCTGGAACTGAGTCCTCCAAAGATACCTTCAAATGTAACTTTTTCTCTGGTTCTCTGGTAGTAGAGAGCTG